CTGGCCTCAAGTGATCCTCCTGCTTTGGCCTCCCAGAATGCTAGACATGACCGCTGCACCCGGCCTTAAATTTTTTTTTGCAGTAACCTTACAGATTTTTAAAAATGCACTTGTGTATTCGGGTCTTACGTTTTATTCTCTGGTTTTAGTGAGTGAACACGTCTCTAGCCCACATGGTAGCGTTGTGGGTTTTGATTCAGAGCCTTCATCACGAGCAGAGGCCGAGCTGGCCCCTCGTGGTGTCCCAGGCACGTGCACCCCACGGACCGGCTGGGCATCGCCAGCCACAGCTGAGCTGCTGCCCCTCTTGCAGGCCATCATCTGCGCCATCTCTGCGGTGGACGCGGTGGACTACAAGACGGCCGAGGAGAAGTACATAAAGGGACCTTCGCTGAGCTACCGGTAGGCCGCTCCGAGCGCCGCTCCCAGACTGCTGTCAGTTCCCGTCTTCAGGGCTTTTGTTTCTGTGCCGCTGGCAGTTCTGGCAGCACTCATCCTCAAAATGCACGTTAGCGCGGGGCCAGGGAACAGCCACAGGACCCGCAGAGGCAGTGCTGGGCATTCCTGTCCTGCAGATGGGTTTGGCAGTGGCCCAGAGTCCCCGAGCTGGTCAGTGGTGGGCAGAGTTGGACACACATCCAAGGCCTGCAGCTCGGCCACGGCCTTCCCTGGGGTTGCCGGCTTCGGGGTGATCCTGCAGCAGCCGCACATGCGGAGCGTTGGTCGCGTGCCCGGGCGTGTCTGCCCTAATCTCTCTGCAGGGCCGATGTTTGTATTTTGAACTTTTTTCACTCCTGATCCAGCCCATGGCTGCGAGGGCCGTGCAGCAAGATTAGGAGGCAGCAGTCACCCCGGACGGTGTCTGGCCAGGCAGAAGAATGCTGTGATCAAGATGTTTATCTCACATCGGTGTGTTTAGCCGCCTTGGCTGTTTGGCCCCAGAGCCCCTAATCCCCTCTGGGCTCAGTGCCAGGCCCTGCGGAGCCAGGCGGGGCCTGCGGGCAGCGGCAGGCCGAGGGTCTCGGTCCAGGCCAGCGGGGCCAGGACTCCTGCCATTGCGGGCACACAGTCACAGGGGCTCCTGGGAGAGCTGTGAGTCCCCCGTGCGGCAGGAGGAGGTGTGGCCTCAGGGCCACTTGCGGAACCATCCAGAGAAGAGCAGAGCAGCAAGTGGCGTCCACTGTTTACCTGGGGCCTCAGTCAGCTTCTGGGAGCGTGTCAGCGTCCTGGCACTGGGATTGGTGGCTCCAGCAGCCAGATGGAACATGACCCACACGATGGCGTCGTGGAGGGAGGTCCCCTCCCTGCTGGTGTCCTTTTCACCTGGGAGTCACGGCTAAGGAGTCGTGCCCAGGCCGGCTGTGTAACCGTGCGGCCAAGGTCGTGGTGTGGACGGTCCTCACTCCTCCTGCCGTCTCCATGGCTGCTCTTTCCAGCTGCTGACGTGGCTCCCGGTGGAACATTGAAACCAATGTCCCGGTTTCCCAGTGTCCTGCACAGCCTGTTCCTGCGGGGCTGCTGGGCACGGGTGATCGTCAATGTGATTTTTCTTTACAAGGAAGTCACATAGTAGTAACAATTTGATGTTTCATACGCTTCCTGAAAATACCTTTTCAAAAAATTGTACTAAAATACACATAACAAAATTTGCCATCCTAACTCTTTTTAAGTGCACAGCTCGGTGGCATTGGGCACATGCGCGTAGCTGTGCAGCGGTCCCCAGCCTCCATCTCCAGAACTTTCTCATCGTCCCAGACTGAAGCTCTGTCCCCATAAACAAGAACCTCCCTATTTTGTACTCTTTAAAACACAATGATGAATGACTAAATGAAGTATCTTTTGTTTTCTGAAGGGAAAAAGAAATATTTGACAACCAGCTCCTAGAAGAACGGAGCCGGCGCTGTCGGTGGTGAGGAGGCGGCTCCGCGGCGGAGGGTCCTGGCCAGCCGCGCCGTCGGGCCCGACGTGGGGCCCGGGGCTTGCGTTTGTGCCGAATCTGTCTGGGTTGTCCTGGTTTCCATGCTTCGGAAAAGTGTGTTCGTTAACGTACCGAAAGCTGGTTCTGTTTTCCTGGCACTTTGTGCAAGATGCATTTCCTGAAAGGTTTTAAAAGGACAAAAATAGATGGATGGCGTTTCCGTTCTCGTGACTGTACTGTGTGATTAACACGAAGTGGCGTTTGTTTTCTATGCATCTGGTCTGATAGTAAATGACAGTTTTAAAAAGGTGTCTGGTGTGAATACATTGCTGCAGAAACGTCAGCGTGTTTCTCTGGTTTTTTTTTTTTCCCCCTTTGTGTGATTTCCACTTACCGTGGCTCCTGAACGTGCTCCTGTGTTTCTGAGGAAACGGCTTTGTTGGAGGGGAGCGAGGCGGGCAGCTTCCCCGAGTGTCGCGGTGGCTTGCTCGGGAGAAGAAGCCGGACAGGCGCCTTTCCAGCGGCCTCTGCGCCCGGCCCCGGGTGGGGAGGGAACCAGGCTGGAGGGTCACGGTGCAGGCAAACTAGCTGTGTCCTGTCCTCTGTCGGAGGCGATGGCTTTGCTGGTTCCAGCCCCAGGCAGTGCTCCAGAGAATCCCATTTCCCGAGTGAAGTAGCCACTCCCACGTGTGGAGGCCTCCCCGAGGCACTGTGGCACCTCTTCAAAGCGTCACTTAAAAAAGACGTGCACAGGGTGAGAATTCAAAAACACAGAAAATCGAGTTGGTGTGGCCAGAGTCCACCTTTCCCGGCCTCCTCCCCGCCTCCCTGTGTGCCCCTTGCCCTCCGGCCAGCCTCACCCAGCCCACTCGCCCCACAGACCTGGCCCTGTGGTCCCCATTTCAGGGGTGTCTTAGGGCCCTGAGTGCTGGAGCCCATCTCTGCCTTCCATGCAGTCAGTCCACCCACCAGCCCCACATGCTGGTCACACTTGGCCTTGGAACGTAGCCCTAAACCTAGTGGCGGAAATGTTCTCTCTCACGGCCTATGCAGGTCAGGACTCCCCGAGGCAGCTGGGCCAGGTGGTCCAGGTGTCCCGTGAGGCTGCAGTCGCCTGCTGGCTGGAGCTGTGTCATCTGAAGGCTTGACCAGGTCTGGGCCTCCCAGGAGCCTCCCTCAGGGCACCATGTTGGTGGAGGCCCCTCCTCGTGCCACCAGCATGTCCCTAACCCTAGTGGCTGGCTCCCCTGACAGCAACACTGTCTGCCGCTGGTCACATGGGGCAGTCCTGCTGGAACATGAATTGATGTGTGGGCGGCAGAGGTGAGACCAGGAGGCCCTGTCGGCCCCAGCCCTCCCTCCACACCAGCCACAGCCAGGGACCAAGCACCCTGCCACCCCAGCCACCAGCGCTAAGGCTGAGAGCCCCCCAAACCCTCGATGGCCAGGCTCCTGTTCCTTCAGGAAAGAGACCATGGAGCTGGCCGGCGTGATCTAAACGTGGCAAGCCAGGAACACAGCACATTGCTGTCCCCGACCCTGTAAAAAAAAAAAATCTAACCAAAAATCCACAAGAAACAAATCCCAATGGAGAGCGCTCCACCTGGCCAGAGATCCTGGCCAGCCCAGGCCTTCCAGGACATCGGGAACAACGTCCTGCAGGGGCCCAGATGGTGCCCTGGGGCAGGAGAGGACATTAGGGGAAACTGAGGAAACCTGAAAAAAGTGTGGATTTCAGCTAATAACAATGTACCAACATTGGTGTGTTAATGGTGGCAAACATACTGCACTCACATGGAATGTTAATAATGGGAAACTGGGTGCGGGGTAAACCAAACTCTCGGAACTATCTGTAACTTTTCTGTACATCTAAAGTTACCCTGATATAAAAAGGCTACGTAAATATATTTAAAAGCCACACAGCCGGGGCAGCTGCGTGAACCGCAGAGGGAGAGGGCTTTGTGCACCCGACAGCTCTTCAGATTCTGTCAACTCTCCAGTCCTCTCCCTGCAGGTTTCCCAGCCCAGATCTGACATCCTCCCCTCTCCTGGCAGATGCCCCCTCGGGTGTAGCGGCCTTGGGTCCCAGCCTCCTTCCTGCCTCATTCCTCTGGAGGCAGATGAGAGATTCCTGAGGACAGGGCCCTGGTTTGGCCTGGCCCAGCACCCCACGTGGTCCTGTGTTTGTCTACTTGGCCTCAGTATACCAGTCTTTAAAATGAGTGGATTGTCCAAGTCAAAGGACCTGCAAGCAAAAAGCATTCTGCAAACTCTATTGTGCTAATTTGGGTGTTTAGTGTTAGTGTTTATCCTGAACACTGGCTCTAACTCACCAGTTTAGAAAAGATTGAAAATCAGGGTTTGTGGTGGGGGTACATGGAGGTAGATCCTAACATCTTTGGGGCGGGAAGAGGGGTTTGGGGTTGCCTGTCATGTCTGAGCCCTCCCTGGTTTGAGTCAGCCAACATCCTGGTCCCTCACGTGCAGCGTGACTTTCAGGGAAAGGGACTCCGGGGCCCAGAGGAACTGGACCAGCCCCGCGCAAAGGAATGATGCTCATTCGGGGCGCCAAAACTCCTGCCGAAACCCGGGATCGAACCAGGGACCTTTAGATCTTCAGTCTAACGCTCTCCCAACTGAGCTATTTCGGCGGGGTGGCAAGGGTCGCTCTCGCCCGGACTCCGCCCCGCGTCGCGCCGCTGGCGCGCAGGTGCGGCTCGCTCCCCTGCCGTGGGGCGCGCATGCCTCGTAGGGCCGCGCGGGGAACCCAGCTACAGCGCCGTCTCTGTGGCGCAATCGGTTAGCGCGTTCGGCTGTTAACCGAAAGGTTGGTGGTTCGAGCCCACCCAGGGACGTGCCAGTGTTTTTGCCATACCGCGGGGATGAGGAAGCGGACGTAGCCTCTGATTTTGCCCAGGCGCCGCAACCTTCACGCGCACCGGGATGTCACGCTTTACACCCCTTGACTGGAGTAGGGGTCCCGGGGCCGCGCGGCGCGGGTGCGAGCACTGGGGCCGAAATGCGGCGGAACGTCATGGGCGTGGGTTCCGGTTTCCGCACGCGCTCCAGGCCTCTTTGGAAGACGGCCTGGAGGACTCGGAGGGTTTACGGGGACGGACCGCAGAGGTTGTCTGAAGGCCGAGGCCAAGATGGCGGCGCTAGCGGGTGAGCGAGGCTTGCGGGTTCGGGGGACGCTGGGGTCAGGGGGTCGCGGGACGCCGGGGTCGGGGGCATGGGACGTCGGGGTCTGGGCCCGGTCGCCGCAGCGGTTCGCTCTCCATGCCGGCCGCTCCTCAGGCTCCAGCCCTGCCTGCTGCGAATGGTCTCTGTTACTGCGTCCATGTTACAGCCGGGGAAACTGAGGTTCGGCGGGTCGAGACGCAGGCCCCTCGCCTCTGGGGGACGCTCGCGGGGGAGGTTGGAGGAACGCCCGCTCAGTGCCCTTGGCGTGCCCTGGAGATTCCCGGGTGAGGATTGCACCCACCTGACAAGCTGGGAAACTGAGGCTCGGAGAGGGTCTGTGACGCCTCAGGGTCCTGGGGCCGGTTCTGGGCGCAGGGCGCTCAGGTCGCTCTGCCTGATCTTCCACCTGCCTCAACATCCCTGGGACGGTAATGATCTCTCGCAGCAGAGCAGGAGTCTCAGCCTGTCCTTCCCATGGGACCTTTTCAGTATCAGGTGAAGCCCGAGGACCCCTGCTCAGATAAAATCATTAACTGCCTAGATTTGAATCCATAGGATTGCAGGGAAATCAGTTATACTAGAGACAGTGACCAAAATACTGTTTTAATGGCTGACTTAGCAATCTAGTGCTTATATTATCAAGGCATGGAATGCCGAGGTCTAGTGGGGGTCCAATTAGGACTGTAAGTTTTGAAGCATTGAGGAGCTGGAAATGTGGCTTCCATGTGTGGGAACACCTGCAGCCCGGTAGCATGGGTAGGAAACGTCTGTGATTTCCCCTGGTGAGAAGTTCCAGGTTTAGCTAACAATGGCTTGTTTTGTTGCTGGCACTCAGAATGAAACGAAAAGGTTAACTTTCAGATTTTCAGTAAAATGTTGGTGACAATGAAGAGATTGTTTTGTTTTGTTTTTCCATGCAAGTTCATGGTTCTTCTGAATTCTCACCAGCGGGCAGCTTGTTAAGAATGTGCCTGGTCCGTTGGCAAGACCACCCTGTAGGTATAAAAGGAAAAATAAAAATAAAATAAGAATAGGCCAGGCACGGTGGCTCATGCCTATAATCCTAGCACTCTGGGAGGCTGAGGCGGGCGGATTGCTTGAGATCAAAGAGTTCTAAACCAGCCTGAGCAAGAGCAAGACACCATCTCTACTATAAATAGAAATAAATTAATTGGCCAACTAATATATATAGAAAAAATTAGCCAGGCATGGTGGTGCATGCCTGTAGTCCCAGCTACTTGGGAGGCTGAGGCAGAAGGATCGCTTGAGCCCAGGAGTTTGAGGTTGCTGTGAGCTAGGCTGACGCCACGGCACTCACTCTAGCCTGGGCAACAAAGCGAAACTGTCTAAAAAAAAAAATAAGAATGCTTGGTCCAGAGGTGTAGAATCTGGTCACCTTAGAGACACTCACTCAAAGGAACATTTATGGCTGGGCACGGTGGCTTATGCCTGTAATCTTAGCATTCTAGGAGGCCCAGGCGGGAGGATCACTCAAGGTCAGGAGTTTGAAACCAGCCTGAGCAAGAGCAAGACCCCATCTCTACTAAAAAAAAATAGAAAGAAATTAACTGGCCAACTAAAAATATATAGAAAAAATGAGCCAGGTATGGTGGCGCATGCCTGTAGTCCCAGCTACTCAGGAGGCTGAGGTAGGAGGATCGCTTGAGCCCAGGAATTTGAGGTTGCTGTGAGCTAGGCTGACGCCACGGCACTCTACCCTGGGCAACAAAGATAGACTCTGTCTCAAAAAAAAAAAAAAAAAAAAGGAGCATTTACTTTGCTGTGAGCTTATCCAAAACCCTAAATTTTCACGTGGGGAAACTGAGGCACAGAGACTGGCGGCTTATGCAGGTCTCTGGGGTTGGGCAGTTAGCCTGTCTCCTGTGCCCAGCCTCAAGCATGCCAAGAAGTAGGTAGGTCACAGTCTTGTGTCCTTCGGACTGTTGCAGCCTGGATGGGGTCCAGGGACATAGCCTGGATGAGGTTAAGGCTGGGGTAAGGGAGGGGTGCAGAGGAGGAGAAGGCTGTGCAGGGGTGCAGGGCTGGGGTGCAGGGCTGGGGTCTGACTGCCCCCATGGGGCAGTCAGACCCCAGCCCTGCACCCTAGAAGCTGCCCTCAGCCTCACCTCCCTGTCATGCACTAGGTTAATCTGCTAGGATTGCTGTGCAGAGTGCCACAGACTGAGCAGCTGGCACAGCAAAGAGTATTTTCTCACAGTTCTGGGGGCTGGAAGACAAGATGAGAGTGTAGGCAGAGCTGTTTCCTCAACCTTTGGCCCTTTTTTTTAAAGAGGGTCTTGCTCCATTGCCCAGGCTGGAGTGCAGTAATGATATCATAGCTCACTGCAGCCTCGAACTTCTGGGCTCAAGCAATCCTCTTGCCTCAGCCTCCCGAGTAACTGGGTCTAGAGGAGTGCACCACCATGCCTGACTAATTTTTTTATTTTTTAAATTTTTTGTAGAGAGAGGGATCTTGCTATGTTGCTCAGGCTAGTCTCAAACTCCTGGCCTCGAGTGATCTCCCCTCAGCCAGGCACATACCCCGCACCCAGCGCTAATTGCCTCTTCCTATAGGACATAAGTCACGTTGTATGAAGTCGCATCCTAATGACCTCATTGTACCTTAATGACCTTGTTAATGAACCCACAAGGGGGGTTCACTGTTGCACCCCGCACAGAAAGCCAGTTACTGAGATGAAGATTGTCAAGGAAGAAAGGATTTATTGCAGGGGACCCATCTACTGGGAGGGAGACGCTAGGCACAACCAAGGCACAGCCCATGGTGGCTGTAGCATCTTGGGAAGCTCTTGGAGACAGGTAGGACCAGACACCAGATGCCCCAGGAGAAGGGCAGCCCTGGCAGGTGTGGGGCCCCTGTCAGGCAGAGGGAACAGCTGGTGTGAAGGCCCTGGGGCAGGAACGGAACAGGCGCGGTGAATGTCGCCAGGGCGGGCAGCCCCAGTGCCAGTGCGTGGCCTGTGCAGGGGAGCGCAGCTCGCTCATGTTCCAGAAGCATCCTCTTTACCAGACGTTTGTTAGACACGATGTGGGACAGACTGGGACAGACCAAGGGTGGGGGGGGGCTCACCGGGAAACGCCTGGCGGCTCCACCCCGGAGCCACATGGGCACCTGAGCCTGCGGCCTCTGGGGTGCCCGGCGCTCACCACTGCGCACTCCTGTGGTTCCCCCGCAGCTCCTGGCCTGCTCTGCTCCCGGATCCTAGGTGCACGGTGAGTGACTGTCTCCACCCCTGAGCTGGGAGGGCCCTTACGGAAGGTCACAGGGCGAGTTAACGGCAGGACTGGGGCTGGCGGCCTGTGCACAGTGCCTGGTGTGCTAGGGCCTCCCTGCGGGGACAGTCTGTCGTGGCAAAGCCTGGCAGAGTCGGGACTTACCACTTCTGTCCACCCGGTGCCCACAGAGCTCACTTGTTACACGTCACTGGAAGGTGTCCTCTGAGCTCCTGCTCAGACGCAGCTGTGTGCAGCCTCCTGCCCAGGGGACCTGCCGACATCCCCTTGGTCCCGTGTGGAGGGCTTGGTCCCAGAGCTTCCCTCCCTACATATTCCTAGGACCGTCCTTGCTCGGACACTGTCACTCAGGGGGTCAGGCGGGGGCCACTTGGCCCCGAGTTCTGTCCACAGGCCTGGACAGAGAGACAAGGGGTCTCTAGGCAGAGGCGTGAGAGGTTCCTCAGCAAAGAGGGGACGGAGGGGAGGGACTCGGCCAGAGCTCTGGGGCAGCCAGTGGGGCCTCGGTGGCGACTGACCCACCGTCTGTCCCAGCAGCTCCAGCGTGGGCACCGCTGTGCTGGCCCGAGACGTCCATCAGAGCGCAGCTGCTGACGGCCCGAGCAGGTGAGGCTTGTGGGGAGGCTGCCCGCCCACAGCGCCCTCCCACCGCTCCGTCTTCTGCGGCCTCCGCTGCCACATCTCCGGCCTGCCCTGTCCCGGTCCAGGCCTCCAGCGCACGTCCCCAAAGCCCCCGAGAATGGCCACCTTTCATTCCTTTTCCCCTCAGGTGTGTCCCCAGCCAGCCCTGCCAGGCCCTGTGGGCTTCAGGGTTCCACCTGGTGCTGCCCTGGGACCCTGCCCACGGCCACAGCCTTGTCCCTCCCTCGGAGGAGCTGCTGTGCACCAGGTCCCTGGGCAGGGGCTGTGGGGTGGCAGCATCGCCTCTTGGGGATGCCTGGTGGGCTGACACATCCCTGGGCCCCTGTGTCCACGTTAGTTCCCAGCCCACCGTGACGAAGGCCGGATCTGTGTTACCGAAACGAACTGCGCTTCCCAGCAGCCGGGGCGAGTATGTGGTGGCCAAGCTGGATGACCTCATCAACTGGGCCCGCCGGGTGAGCCCCCCGGGTGCCAGCAGACCCTCCTCTGTCCTGAGGACCTCCCTCTGCACGCATTCACACACATATACACACGTGCACACATGCAAGCACATGGCTCATTCCATCTGGGGATTCACCCTCCTCTGCACCCCCGCCCTGTCAGCTGAGACTGGATGTCCACCCATGTGCTGAGGCCTCACTGGGGGCCCGTCCCTTCCTGTCATTTCTCTCGTTTTTTAATGTAAAGTAAATTATTTCAAGTTAGGAAAGTCACACGTGCTGAAAGCAGCAGATCCCTCTCAGTGAAAATCTAAACCTGCCCCGCCCCACGGCAGGGTCCACGCGTGCAGCAGGCGCGTGTCCGGCCGGCCAGCCGCTCTGTCCTCTGTCCAGGGCCCATTGTGTTTGGCCGTGCCAGGCCCGGCCCTCACAATCCCCCATTGACAGGCCTGTGCGCCTGCTTCTCTTCTCTGTTTTCTCCATCACAAACGATGCCACAGGGAACATCCTGCCGGGGACAGATGCCCATTGCGGGGCTGTGATGGAGGAAACCTGGGCCCCATTGGGGCTCATCCAGCTGTGGGCTCCGGTCAGGTGGACCTGGCCACCCCTCTCTGCTCTGTAGCCTGGGTCTGTCACCCACATCAGCACATCTGCTGGGGCAGCAGGGGCCACTTCCAGGTCTCAGAACCTGGCACAGAGCGGGGACAGTGGAAGAAGTGGCAGGAGGGCGGCCAGGGGATTCAGGTGGGCTTCCCAGAGGCCCCGGTCCACGTGGTGTCGGGAACAAGCCCTGGGGAGTGTTGCGTGTGGAACGGCCCCAGAAGCCAGAGCAGGCCCCCACCAGCTTCCACGGGCAGATGGATCTGGATCCAGTTAGCCCTGAGTCGCAGGGTTTAGACCCGTGTGGCTGGCGCCCCACATTGAAACGATAGGATTTAGGAAAAACAAGGTTGAATGACTAAGTTATTAAGACTAATTTCACTTGATTATTTTTATTTATTAATGAGGCTGGTGGGAAGCGTTGGCCAGGAAGGCGGGAATTCTAGGTTCCTCCACAGGGCAGTTCATGGTGCCTCTCGCAGTGACAGCCGCTGCTGCCTCTGACCCGTGCCTGGCCCCTCTCCCAGAGCTCGCTGTGGCCCATGACCTTCGGCCTGGCCTGCTGCGCTGTGGAGATGATGCATATGGCCGCACCCCGCTACGACATGGACCGCTTCGGCGTGGTCTTCCGGGCCAGCCCTCGCCAGTCTGACGTGATGATTGTGGCTGGCACGCTCACGAACAAGATGGCCCCGGCGCTCCGAAAGGTAGCCCTCCTCCCTGCCGCCCGCCACCCCGCCACCTGGGCGCTGAGCTGCACACAGACCCTTCTCCGTGTCTTCCAGGTCTATGACCAGATGCCAGAGCCCCGCTACGTCGTGTCCATGGGGAGGTGAGTGCTGCCCCAGCCGTTCCCTGATGGTGTTTATCCAGGGGTGACTTGGTCGGTGGAACCCCAGGTGGCAGTGAGCAGGGCACTGCCCCCCCCCCACAGCAGGTCTGGGTGGGCCTGTGCCTGTAGCCGCTACCCGACCCAGAACGCTTCCTCCAGTCCACCCACAGCCCAGTCCACTCACAGGCCAGCCCAGGCCGTTCTTGGCTTTGTGGACACACAAGTGATGTCGTGCACTCGAGGTGGACAGTTTTGTGTTCTCCTGTCTTTAACTTCCCATGCTTTCTTTAAAAAGTCTTTAGTCTCTTAGCTTTTTGTTGAAATAATAATTCACATACCATAAAGTTCACCCTTCTGGAGTAATTCAGTGGTTTTTATAGTATTTATAGACAGTGTGCAGAGGCCATTTCTAATTCCAGAACATTCCATCACCCCAAAGGAAGCCCCGTCCCCATCAGTAGTCACCACCCCTCTCCCCAGCCCCTGACACCCACAAATCCACATCCCATCTCTGTGGATCTGACTTCTGGACGTTTCATATAAACAGTCTCACACTGTGTGTTCTTCTGTGTCTGGCGTCTCTCACTGAGCACGATGTCCTCAAGGTCCATCCTCGCTGTGGCCTGTGTCAGAGCCTCGTCCCTTTTCGTGGCTGGATGATATTCCAATGTGTGGATATGCTAGTGATCTCATTCTAAACAGCTGTAGAATATTCCAGACTTTACACAGTTGGTCCCCAGATGCCGAGCACTCAGGCTGTTCCCACTTTCGTGGTGTGAGAATTAACACGGGTGAGCTGCCCCAGGTGAAGCCCTGTGGTATCTCCGGTTCTCTCCCTGGTGACCCCAGCAGCCTCACTGGAGCAGAGCTGGGAACGGGGCGCAGGTCTCCGGCGCGAGGCCCAGTTGCTATATAGATAGGCGTGGGCTGGTCGAAGCCTGACAGTCTCTGTTACCCAAAGGAGTGCTTTGTCACAGGTCTTCTCACCCCCAGCGTGGTCCCCAGGGATGGTCGGAAGCCCCTCTTAGCGGGTGAACACTTTTCTGTGCGTGTGTCAGCCCTGCCTTTGCTCCCAACCCACCTGGTCCCATGCGAGGTTTTATAAGCCCAGTTCGTCTTTGTTCGTTGCTTATCTGTGACATCCTGTCAGTTTCTGGCCTTTTCTGATAGCCAGGACCCGGCTTGCAGTTGAAGGCAGGAGGGGGTATGGGGGTTAGGGCACAGCCTGGAGGTGGGAGGGTGGGCAGGGCTGGCTGCCACCCCCCACCCTGGTGGGTCCTCTTGGCCAGAGCTGCCCTCATGGTGCCTTCTGTCCCCCAGCTGTGCCAACGGAGGTGGGTACTACCACTATTCCTACTCGGTTGTGAGGGGCTGCGACCGCATCGTGCCGGTGGACATCTATGTCCCAGGTAAGGCAGCTCTGGAGGACCCCAGCTCATCCCCTCTGGAGGAGCCCACACCCCTGGGAGAGCGCGGATTCTGCCAATTTTATGCATGAGCACACACAGGTTCAAGAGGAAAAGCAACTCCACACACCTTTCCCCTTTGCCGGGGGAGGATGAAACTTGTCATTCTGTTCAGACATTGGGCCAGTCCTAGTGTCTCAGGATCAGATTGAGCTATGCAGAATTCCAGTTTCAAACTACAGTTTTAGGCCAGGTGGGGTGGTGGTGGCACCTGTCGTCCCAGCCACTTAGGAGGCTGAGTAAGGAGGATCACTTGAGCCCAGGAGTTAGAGGCTGTAGTGAGCTGTGACAACACCACTGCACTCCAACCTGGGTGACAAAGCGAGACCCTGAGGCCGGGCACGGTGGCTCACGCCTGTAATCCTAGCACTCTGGGAGGCCGAGGCGGGTGGATTGCTCGAGGTCAGGAGTTCGAGACCAGCCTGAGCAAGAGCGAGACCCCGTCTCTACTATAAATACAAAGAAATTAATTGGCCAACTAAAAATATATATACAAAAAATTAGCCGGACGTGGTGGCACATGCTTGTAGTCCCAGCTACTCGGGAGGCTGAGGCAGGAGGATCACTTGAGCCCAGGAGTTTGAGGTTGCTGTGAGCCAGGCTGATGCCACGGCACTCACTCTAGCCTGGGCAACAAAGCAAGACTCTGTCTCAAAAAAAAAAAAAAAAGCGAGCCCCTGTCTCTAAAAGAATATATAAAAAATAAACTATAGCTTCATATGGTTCTGCCTAATAGAAACAAAACCAAAAAAGTAAAAAAAAAAAAAAAAGCAATTAAAAGTGCAGACAAGATGCTCCTGGAGGCTGCAAACGCCGTCCTCAGTCTTCACCCTCACAGAGGGCACTCAAGACACCAAGGTCCCTAGGACAGGCAGATTTAGCACGTACAATTTTGCAAAAGGCTAAGTTAACTTTGTCAGAAAAACTATGCATAGTAGTTTTTTAGTATAGATATATCCAATATAATACTTGGGATGTACTTACAAAAAATGTGGTTTGTATCTGAAGCTCACATTGAACTTATTTTAGGCGACAATCCCGTGGAACTCCACACCTCACAGGGTCAGAGAGGGGCATCCCGCAGGGGCATCTGCCCTGGCGGTCGGTGGTGGCAGGTCAGGAAGCGGCACTTACATGGGGACGGGGCAGAGATGCCCGATTCTTGGCTGTCCTGTGCTGTGGCCTTAGTGTGGGCACAGAACCCCCAACCCTGCCCCAAGCCATGTCCCAGCACCTCTCAGAAGGCAGAGAAACAGGTTTTGACGTCGGATTAGAGTTAATTGGAAAACTGCATTGATTTGTTTAGCATTCTGCAAATATTTATGGAGTGCCTTTTCCAGGCCCATACCTGCCCCGGGCCTGACGCTGGGCGTCCCCAGGCAGGGTAAGAGGGGGAGATAGAGCCTGACACAGACATGCCCAGCCCCATTTGTGGGGTCAGGGAGGGTACAGTGGAATGAGGTTTTGAAGGATGCATAGGAGTTCACCCTGTGGGTTTGTTTGTCTTGACCAGGAGCCAAACCCCTGGTCAGTTGCTGCTTGTTTGAGGTGTGACCTTGGGCAAGTCCCCTCTCAGAGCCTCAGTTACCCCACCCATCAGATGTGCCTGTTGTGCCGCAGGCTCCACCTCCAAAGGCCGGCTGGGGACCCTATAGATGTCCTTCAGGCTGCACTTTGCAAGCGTTTGTGAGGGGCTTGGCCTGCAGAGGAAGGGGATGGGCCCCAGACTGGCCGGGGCTGGAGAGTGTGGGGAGGGAAACTGAGGCACGGTCCTGCCCACAGGCTGCCCGCCCACGGCCGAGGCGCTGCTATATGGCATCCTGCAGCTGCAGAGGAAGATCAAGCGGGAGCAGCGGCTCCAGATCTGGTACCGCAGGTAGTGCCGGCGCCGAGGGAGCTGCCGGAACCCAGTCTGTGTTGTCCCTGGAGATTGTCAATAAACCTGCCCTCGGGCCCACTGCCTGGCAGCGTGTGCATCAGGGCGCCCTCTTTGCTGGCATCTGAGCTGCCCTGGACCTGAGGGCTGTGGGGAGAGCCCGGGCTCTGCCTCCTCCCCACCCATCACCCATGGAGTCTGTATCCTCATCAGGGGTGTGTATTTACTCAACAAACGTTTGGTCCTCCCAACTTCAGGGCCTGACATCCCGATTCTGCAGATCAGTGGCTGCACGTTACGGATGTGACCAACATTTACCACTGATCAGGCTGGGCAGGCGCACCCAGGACACTGGTGGGGGCACAGGTGCCATGCCCACCCCTAGAAGGGCAGCCTTGAGGGGATGCTCAGGGAACAGTGTGTGTGGCGGAGGGAACAGCCCATGCCAGGGACCAGGGCCTGAGGGCCCTGAATGCAGAGCCACAGGGCAAGGGCGGGTCAGTGGAGGTGCAGAGCTCGGGGCAGGTGGCAGCCAGGGTGTTCCCTGGGGCAGGGCCACACTGCGCCCAGCTCCCGTGGGCGAGGAGAGGAAGTGACTTTGAAGTAGGTGGTGCCCTGGCTGTGGGGGCTCAGATGGTGCCCTGCTGCTCCGGTGCCGAGGGTCCCGGTGGATCATGACTCCCACTCGCCTTGGTGCTGCTGCCCCCAGACCCTCCCTGCACACCGGCTGCGGGCAGGCAAGTAGTTTCATCTCCGACTCCATCAGCGGGTCACAGCTACCCAGGAGGAGGTGGCCATCATGTGGCCATGTTCGCCATGCCAGGATGGGGTGGCCAAGGCCCAGAACAAGCTGCTCTGACAGATTTCTGTTTGTCTGAGCAGAGGGAGGAGTGACTAGCAGCAGTTGCACATTCACTACTGACGGGCCACACCCAGTGGCAGCGTTTATTTCACCCTTGAGGCCCCGGGAGGGTGGCGGCAGCATTCCCTGCAGTGACACGGCCTGGGGCTGCAAGAGGCCAGGTCCCAGGTGCCTGACCACCAAGGCACTGAGTGGGGGTGACACGGGGTTGTCCAGAAGTCCAGAGACCTCAGGGTGGTGGGCTCAGTGCTTGGTGACCAGGGGCGTGATCATCTCGGGGAAGGCGTAGTAGCGGCAGTCGGCTGGTGGTACCAGCGCCATCACCTCAGTGCGGATGTTCTCCCTCCGGAAGCCTGCATCCAGCAGCGCGGGCACCTGCGTCTCCTGGCGGGAGGGCAGCCAGGTCACCTCTGAGGGCCGGGGGTGCTCACACTGCACCCAGTACCCACCCCTCATCAGAGAGCGTTTGCGAGAACCAAGACCCTCGGGCAGGCCGGGTGTGGATGGGAATGTCCCAGCTGTCCAGGAGCCCCAGCCCCGGATCAGGGCCCTAGGACTCAAGCCCACCACGGGCACCTGTGTTTCTCTACATCCTCACCAGGGCAACGGGCAGAGCAGAGGGTCATGATGGGAAATAATGCATGGGCTCCGCATGGCACAGGCCTCTGCACCAAGCTTGGCTTCGGAGGGGGGCTCCCTGCACCTCCTTGCCGGGCAGAGGGCAGGGTATGCAGAGGCCCTGGGAGAGGCACAGCTCAGCCAGTGAGGGCACGTCCTGGGTACAGGGGGCCAGAGGGAAGGCCCTAGGGAGCCATGGGAAGTGGGTGACCTGGAGAGGGCCCTGCCCGATTCCTAAGTGGAGACTCTCCCACGGTCCAGCCCAGCCAAGGGACCAGCCCCCAAGGCCTGCGGTCCCTCCCCAGCTGGTCCCAGGTCACTGTGAGGTGGGGGGAGGACCCCGGGAGGTGGCACCTGGAACATGGTGGTGATGTCCGAGTACTTGGACTTCATCAGCTGCCCCCAGGAGGTGAGGTTGCAGTAGGTGAGGACACCCCCTGGCTTGAGCAGGCGAAAGGCGTGGTTCTGGGGGAACAGACGCTGGTCAGGCGGGAGGCCGGGGTTGAGGGGTGGGCCTCCTGCCTCCCAGCAAGTCAGGGACAAAAGAGGGAGGACGGCACGTGTCCCACTCGGTGCCCCACCCCACTCAGGGTCAGGGCCACAGCACTGACCAAGCCCCACCTTGATGAAGCTGAACTGGTGTGTGTGCCAGGTCTCCTCCGACAGCGGGTATGTGTCATACAGGATCCCTGCACAGGGGTGGAAGCCACCAGGTCAGGGCTGGGCCAGGAGGCCTGGCCTCAGAGGCTGCCCCCTCACCCAGGACGGGCAAAGGCAGCACAGGCTGGAGAACCCTAGAGGCTGTACTTTGAGGTCTACGCATTGTGTCCATCACCTGTCATGTGCCAGGCCCTCAACATGCGTCCTCACGTGTCCTCACCCACCTGGGCTCTGTCCCCCCTACCCCTCTGAGGACAGATCAGAGAGGAACATTCTTTAGAAGGTTCCTCTGCGAGCAAAGGAGGGGACGGGATGAGAGTGGAAGGGCCAGCATATCCCTGTGATAGGTGCCCCTTACCATCAAAGTGACCGTCTGGCAGGGTGGGTGCCACCTCCTCCCACAGGCCTTTCAAAGGGACAACCTTGGAGAAGAGAGGAAGAAAAGAGAAGACTGAGGGTCAGAGTGGTCCCCAGGATCCCCCGCCTGCAGAAAGGGAGGGGCAGAGACTCCCCAGGGAGGAAACTATGTCTCCCAAGTCTGTGGCTGCCCCAGACCCCCAACCTGGTCTGGGGTGCAGGGCCTTGGGCCCAAGGAGGGGGCACCTTGTGTGGCTGCTGCCGGGCCCAGTCCTGGAGCCGCTGGAAGACGCCGTCATTGCATTCGATGATCCAGTGCTCCTCCACGGGGGCCTCCTGCACCTTCGAGGCTGCGATGGCCATGCCGAAGCCCACCTCCAGGACGCGGCCCCCTGCCAGACAGAGGGTGCCAGCATCACATGCTAGGCCTGGGACAGGAGGCTGCCTGGAGATGGGGGCCCAGGCCTGGGCCCTGGCTGTGAGTCACATTTGCCACAAGGACCCGAGGGTGGCTGGGTCAGCACGGGCAGAGGCGGGCAGAACACAACAGCGCCAGGCAGGAGTGAGTGGGCCCTGGGCAGCAGCCAGCCAGGGCTGCCAGAGGATAGTAGCGTTTGGTCCCAGCTCTGGGGGGGGGGGGCAGAGCCTTGGACTTTGAGCCCTGGCCCGTGCTGTTTGTGCTGGTGGCCCTTATCTCTTGATTTGGTTACTTTTCTGTCCCCTCCATCCCAGCCGGTCCAGGCAAGCCTTGAAAAAGTCTGGGGGAGGGGCGGGTCCTCCCTGGACCACAGACGGGGACTTTCTCAGCCCCAGTTTGCACCTGACCCTGGATGTCCCCGTTTGCCAGGTGGGAATGCTTTAGGCCGGCCCAGAGAGGGGTCTGTTTGGCGCTGGGGAGCCCCTGCACCCCTTGGACTCGGGCCACCCTGGGGACAAACGTCTCCCTGCGCTCAGCTTTCACGGGTCTATTCTTAGCGCGGGAGGGACGGGGCCGGCCGGCGCGGGACAGGCTGGGCATGCTCCCACCGCTGGCCCTGCCCCTGCCCCGACCTCAGACGGAGTGCTTGCGGCTGATTCCACCAGGGACTGGCGTCTGAGCACCCAGGCGGTCCCATCTGGAGCGCGGGTCCTCGCTCCCCCGAGAGGAGGTTCCCGGTGCTTAGGGGTCGTCTAATGTGTGCAGGCCCCGCGCCCGCAGCCCTCCCTCCGGGGCCGCGCTGCCTCCCGGGCGAGGAGCACAGGCTGGTGCGCGCCGGCTGCAGGGCGCGCTGGAGACCCCGGCCCGCCGCCCAGCAGGCTACCTCGGGAGGCGGCGGCGGCCGCCAGCGCGTGCATGTAGGGGGCTTCCCAGCGCTCCATCACGGGCTTGCCCAGGATGTGTAGGTGCGTGTCCGCCGCGTCGTAGGCCGCGGGCGCCGCCTGCCACGCGGGGCTGCAGTTCTCGCCCGGCACGAAGATGGGGGTCGCGGTGGGGTCGCTCATGGTGCGGCTGGACTGCGCGCCCCGACTCGGATGGGCGCGCGGGCAGGTCCTGCAGGGCCTTCTGGGCCGGGGGCGGGGCTGGACCGGGCCAGGGGACGGGCCGCGCCGGGGGCGGGGCTGGACCAGGCCGGGGGCGGGGCTGGGCGAGGGCGGACCCGGAGGAGGGCAGGTCGGGCCGGGGCGGACCTGTGCTGGGGGACCGTAGACCTCTGGTTCCCCGCCGAGGCTCCCTCTTTTCTGGGCCCTGAAACGAGCACAGCTGCCCAGCGCCGTGGGAAGCGAGCCGGCAGAGTGCTTGCGACATAGGGACTATTGAAGGCCACTCTAATTGCCGCTGACCACACGGACCCTGAGAGGAAAGGACCTTTCCTCCACCTCGTGGTGCCCTGAGCCGGAGGCCTCCTCTGTAACTCCGGTGCCCCAGGAGATAAGGGGCCTCCCAGTTTCTGGCCAAGCTGTGGCCTCGCAGTAGTCACCTAGGTGTAACCTGGGCTCCATCCCCAAAAGTGGCCAAGGGCACAGTGCCATCAGGTGGGCAGTGCAGCCATGGGATTTACCTTCCAGCCTCAGCTTCCTCCTCTAAGGGGTGGCCACTCCCACCCCTACACATGTCAGCTAATTGATGAAGCAAAACATCCCTTGGCTCTGCCTGTGTGAGCCAAGCACTTGCTGTTATTGCTGGTACTTCAGAGCCTGCAGACCGGGCCTCAGAGAGGGCAAGTGTCTTCCTCAAGGGCGCACAGCAAATCAGTGGCGCAGGGGATGGGGATGGGGAGTGTCTGACACCAGAATTACACACACTGCTGGACTGCAGCAGTGCAGTCAGAGCTCACCATGGCCTTGAAATCCTGGGGTCAAGTGATCCTCCTGCCTCGGCTTCCCAAAGTGCTAGGATGACAGGTGTGAGCCACTGGTCCAAGCCCAGGATCACAGTCTTTAAGAAAAAAAGTAAAGGAAATATTTTTCTGATTGGAAAGGTAACAGGCCGGGCATGGTGGCTCACGCCTGTAGTCCCAGCCACTCGGGAGGATGAGTCAGGAGGATCTCTTGAGCCCAGGAGTTTGAGGTTGCTGTGAGCTATGATGATGCCAGTACACTCTAGCCTGAGTGACAGAGTGAGACCCTGTCTTAAGAAAAGACAAGAAAAGAAAATGGAACTGCAAATGTCTGCCTCAGCCTCCTGAGTAGCTGAGACTACAGGCACACACTGCCATGCCCAGCTAATTTTTAAATTTTTTTTGGTAGAGATCAGGATGTCGCTATATTGACAAGATTGGTCTTGAACTCCCAGCCTAAAGGGAACCTTCCACTCTAGGCTTCCAAAGTGCTGGGATTACAGGTATGAGCCACCAAGCATGGCCAGTTCCTTGTTTTTAAATAAAGTTTTATTGGCACATGGCCATGCCCACTTGTCTACATACACTGTCTGGTGCTCTCCAGCTACAAGAACACCATGGAGCAGTTGTCACAGCAACCTTACAGTCAGGAAAGCCAAAAATATTTACATCCTGACCCTTTACAGAGGAAGTTTGCCAGCCTCTGTTACCGAGCAGTGGATCGTGGGAAGTGAAAATCGTGCATTCATCAAACACACACTGGGCACCGTCCTTCCAGCAGGCCTCGAGCTTTGTACCGTCCCAGCAATGACCAAGAGAGATGCACCCCCAACCCTCCTGGAGCTCAGAGTCTGCTGGGCACCTGTACACTAAATAATAACCCAACAACAGAATGCAGGTGGCTGTGGTGGCTGTGACAGAACAATGTCCCTGTGATCCCCATCCCATGCCCAGATATCCATTTTATCAATGACAATGTTGCTGTATTTTTTCTGTGCATATAGTAATAGTATATGTAGTTATAATTTTTTTTATTAAAAAGAAGACAGGATCTCACTATCTTGCTCTGGCTGGTCTCCAACTCCTAGCCTCAAGTGATCCTCCTGCCTCAGCCTCCTCAGACTAAAGGCACGAGCCACCATGCCCAGCTATAATTTTTAAATATAAAGGGTACAAACAGGAATTAATATTTAGACATCCATGTTCATAGCAGCATGATTCACAACAGTCAAAAGGTGGAAGCAGCGCAGGTGTCTGTCTTTGGGTCAATGAGTAAACACCATGGGGTCCGTCCACACAGTGGGATACACTCAACCCCGAGCAAACTTGGGTTTCAACTGTGCAGGTTCACTTCTATTTGGATTTTCTTCCTCCTCTGCCACACAGGAGACAGCAAGATCCACCCTCCTCTTCCTCCTCAAAGTGAAGACCACGAGGACAGTGACCTTTAGGACAACCCACTTCCACTTTTGAACAGTAAATCTATTTTCTCTGCCTTTTGGTTTTCTTAATAGCATTTTTTTTTTTTTGAGACAGAGTCTCACTCCATTGCTGGGCTACTAGAGTGCCATGGCGTCAGCCTAGCTCACAATAACCTCAAACTCCTAGGCTTAAGCAATCCTTCTGCCTCAGCCTCCCGAGTAGCTGGGGCTACTGGGAGGAATGGAGCCAGGAATGCCTGGCTAATTTTTTTCTATATATTTTTAATTGGCCAATTAATTTCTTTCTATTTTTAGTAGAGACAGGGTCTTGCTCTTGCTCAGGCTGGTTTCGAACTCCTGACCTTGAGTGATCCACCTGCCTAGGCCTCCCAGTGTGCTAGGATTACAAGCGTGAGCCACCGCGCCTGGCCCTTAATAGCATTTTCTTTTCTGCAGTTTACTTTGCTGTAACAGCACAGTAGATAACACATATAACACGCAAAATCTGTGTTCACCAACTATTTACATTGTGAGTAGGGCTTACGGTCACCAGGAGGCTGCTAGTAGTTAAATTTGGGGGCAGTGAAAAGATACATGTGGATTTTTTTTTTTACTATGTTGTCTACAAGATATATGTGTGTGGATTATTCATTTATTTATTGGTAACTAATTTTTTTTTTGGAGATAGAGTCTTGCTCTATTGCCAGACTGGTGTGTGATGGTGTGACCATATCTCACCGAAGCCTCAAACTCCTGGGCTGAAGCGATCCTCCTGCCTCAGCCTCCCAAGTAGCTGGGACTACAGGGTTCACCACGCCCAGCTAATTTTTCTTTCTTTCTTTTTTGGTAGAGAGGAGGTCTCAAACTCCTGAGCTCAAGTGATCCTCCTGCCTCAGCCTCCCAGAGTGCTTAGGATTACAGGTGGATTTTTTTTTTTTTTTTGAGACAGAGTCTTGATTTGTTGCCCAGGCTAGAGTGAGTGCTGTGACGTCAGCCTAGCTCACAGCAACCTCAAACTCCTGGGCTCAAGCGATCCTCCTGCCTCAGCCTCCCAAGTAGCTGGGACTACAGGCATGCGCCACCATGCCCAGCTGATTTTTTGCATATATTTTTAGTTGGCCAATTAATTTTTTTCCATTTTTATAGTAGAGACGGGGTCTCGCTCTTGCTCAGGCTGGTTTCGAACTCCTGAACTCGAGCAATCCACCCGCCTCGGCCTCCCAGAGAGCTAGGACTACAGGCGTGAGCCACCATGCCCGGCCTGTATATGGATTTTTGACTGCACAGGGTCACTGCCTCAACTCCTGTGTTGTTCGGGGGTCAACTATATTATTCAGCCTTAAGAAGGAAAGGAATTCTGACACAGGCTACAGCATGGACGGACCTTGAGGACATTGTGCTCAGTGAGAGACACCAGACACAGAAGGACAAGTCCTGTGTGATTCCACTCACCTGAGGTCCCTGGAGGCGTCAGATCCACAGAGACAGGAAGTAGAATGTTGGGTGCCAGGGGCTGGGAAGGGGGTGAGGAGTGAGTGTTTCATGGGGATAGAGCGTCAGTTTGGAAAGACGAGAAAGTTCTGGCAATGAAGGGTGGTAATGGTTGCACAATAGTGTGAATGTGTTTAATGCCTCCCATCTGAACACTTAAAAATGGTTGAAATGGTAAGTTTTGTGTTATGTATATATTTTACTACAATAAGCAAAGGGACCAGTTGTGCATTAAGTATGGGTATATTCATGTTGGGAGTAAATTCAGGAAAGTGTCCGAATACCTGTTTTCTTGTCAGAGCATCTGCCCTGGGGCAGAAGGGAGGATGTGTATGAGGAGGAGGGAAAACAGGCTCTTCTGTTTCATCTTTTTAAAAAGCTCCTGAAGCAAATGTAACAAAATGCAGACATGTGTTCATCTCAGTGGCAGGTACATGGCTGTTTGTTATTTCATCCCTTGCAGGTGTCTGTATTTTAAAAAATATATTATTTTAAGCAGCGTGCCCCCGGCTTCCTTCTTTGGACCACATCTTGTGCTTCTCATCCACCCCTTGTTGTTTGTTTGTCCAGTCTTCGGCACGTGGATATGTGGTGGTGTCAGAGTTTCTGCTCTTCTATAAGAGGGATGGCAGTTGTCCCAGGATGTCTCTGTGCAAACGCTGGGCAGCGTTTGCGTGATCAGCTCCTCAGCGTGGGTGGCTGAGCACCCATAGTCTGGAAGGTCAATGCTAAGGTGCCCTGCGCTGTGCTCACCTCATCCCAATGCCCAGATCAACCCCATCCTGCAGGCTGTACCCCACTCCTTTCACCTTCCACTCCCGAAGTCAGACACCCCCTCCCCAAATTGTTACTGATTCATTTTGGCCTCCAAAACGTGACAGAGCAGTGAGGACAGCCTCTGAATGGATTCCAGATGCCACCCACTGGGGATGGCTCATTTCTGCCCGGCTGGGCCTCCGTTTCTCATGTGTAAATGGGGACTAAGGACAAGAACTCTCCTCTTGAGGGACAGCAAAGTGCTCTGCAAACTGGAAAGTGGGTGACTTTCATTTTAAATGTGTTTTGTTTTGGGCCGGGCGCGGTGGCTCACGCCTGTAATCCTAGCTCTCTGGGAGGCTGAGGCGGGCGGATTGCTCGAGGTCAGGAGTTCGAAACCAGCCTGAGCAAGAGCGAGACCCTGTCTCTACTATAAATAGAAAGAAATTAATTGGCCAACTGATATATATATAAAAAAATTAGCCGGGCATGGTGGCGCATGCCTGTAGTCCCAGCTACCCGGGAGGCTGAGGCAGAAGGATCACTTGAGCCCAGGAGTGTGAGGTT